CCTTCCCCTTCCCCTTCCCCCTTAGAATAAGGTCTTAGGTCTGGAGACAAATTAATCCCAAGTCTCAGAATCCTTCTTGATGTTGTTATTCCATCTCTGCAGTGCAAAGGCTGTCAAATTCGTGCATTTGCTGTTTGGGAGGTGGCATACATTGTGGCTTCATAGCATGGACACTATGCATTTGCTTGCTATTCCTCTGTTGCTGTAGTTGTTTTAATGAATAACAATCACAAAATGTGCAGAAGTCGTCAGATCTGTAATAACCTTTCCAGTAGCCCATTTTGGGGCTAGTAGAGTGTGTCCGTTCTATATAATGGACAGAGTTTAATGCAGTAGTTTTGGGGTTTACCTTTTGTTTTTCTTTGCCATCGGGTAAGTGCTCCGGTGTCACTTTTGCACTGTGATCCCTTACAGGTTGAAACAACCTTGATCATCTTGAGTACTTCAAGGTGTCTATGTATGGTGGTTTCCGAGTAATTTTGCTCTGAAGTTCAATGGCATTTCTCTTTCAAGCATACGTTCTTATACCTGAAATACTAATACTTAAAGTATTTTGCTACATCTAAGTGCAATCTATCTTAGAGAAAACACTGTCTTTGTAAAAAGTATTGGACTTGTTGTTTGTTAGAGTAACAATACCAGTTTTAAAAATCAACAGACCATTTAAAAGTATTTTCTATCTTGTACCGGATTGTGATGATTGCATTTTAAATGTGCAGTGTATAGCAATGCATGGGAAAAAGACAAGTGGCTGGGCAGAATTTGAAAATAAGGAATAAATTTACATAACATAAAACTGCAAATGGAGATAAGCAGTTTCACAAAATTAAGTTGAATTAAGGGAACAGAATTAGCAAGACACCTACAATGAAGTGGAAACTTTGAAAACACCACAATGTTTCATTTTCACCTGTTTTAAATAAAGCTTTCTTTTAACTGTGCTTTTGAAAATGGCAATTTGCACATAGATGTTGACCTACCCTACAAATTTCTTAAAACTCACTTGCAAAAAAAAAAGGAGAAAGAAAACACTTCCCTAAATTCGTTCCTTTGCCTTCGGTTTCAAGAAAAGAAAAAAATGAAACCTCTTAAAAAATTAGCCTGTGCTAGAACTATGCTAATTTTTCTGTTTGGCCAACCAAGCACCAATAAATTCCATTTAATAGCACTGAAAAGAGTGGCGAGGTAATGTCTCAAACACCTATAGCCTCTAATCCACTGCATCTGCCAATCCCAAAAGACACGGAAAACAGTCACAAATGGACTCCAGAATTGTCTCTTTTCATATGAGAAAAGACATGGGGTATAAATTCACTGTATTATACTCTGTGCCCAATAACAGGAGTCTATGGAATTGCTTTCCGTTGTCTCCCTGCAGATTTCTCTTTTGAAACAAAGTGAGAACTGATAGTTCCTCATCAGCTCTTTTGAAATAAACAATAAAATGCAGAGCTTAAGAAGGCCATAATAAGAAATTACAATGCTTCTGGTTAGTCTTGATGTAACATATTTGTTTGTCAGGTTTCTTGTGATTCCCACATTAACACGTTTGAAATACAGTGTGGGGTGTAGGTGTCAGGTGCAAGCTGCACAGCTGGAAAAACTGCAGCGAGATTAAGAAATATCCACTTTCCCTCTGCCCTGTGAAAGAAGCCATTCCTGTGCACATTTCATTATGGTTTCACATAAACTTGCACTATGGAGAGTGGATTACCTATGGTAGGTTATGTGGAAAAATGGTTGGTTTTGAAGAAGTCAAGGTTCTGGGTGTGCTGGTTCGTAGCGGTGCCTCTGGAGCTGAGCCCTCCCCAACATCTGCGGGGCATTGTCCAGCACCCATCTGCTGCCCGAATGCATTCCTGAACGGCACTGTCAGATGGATTGCTTTTTACTGGCCCCCAAGCCTTTTAATGCTTTCAGACTGATCAGTTTTAAAGACTTGTTAAAAACAGAACTAAGGGATGACAGTCTCTTATTGATTGGGGAAAATAATCAAATTTTATATAGATAGGGCTTTCAGACTTTGTAATGAATTTGATGTGAATACAGATCTGACAGTACTACAGTTTATTGATTAGGAAAAGTATCTTTCATGTTTATTCAGTAGCAGAGATCATTAGGACTTTTCTCTTAATTTCCCTTTATGTTAAGTCTGACCCTAGCACATGTATTCCTCTTCATTTCTGGGAGTGACATAGACTGAAAAGATGCCAAGCAACTTTTGATGATTTTCAGGAACAGCCTCATTTGTCTTATCCTTACACCATCCGAAGTTTCTTTATAAATGAAACAGCATTATTCATTTTTAAAACACTAAAGTTCTTTGTACTAAATGCTTGGAAACTGTTTTTAAGTCTGTACTCCTGCATTGTAGTAGCAGTCCCTTGCTAAGAAATTGCAGTCACAGATGCCAGTTCCTAAGTATATTGATCACGTCCATACTCTCTCTTTTAGCACCAGATCAACCCCTAACAATCACGACCGGATACAGCGCCTCAGGCAAGAGTTTCAGCAAGCAAAGCAAGATGAGGACGTGGAAGACAGGAGACGTACTTATAGTTTTGAGCAGCCATGGGTAAGTGTGTGAAATCTGGAAAGGTTCCCTAACTCCCACTGTCCCAGGGCTGATTGGGAGCAAAACAATAGGGATGCAGCATCCTCTGCCTCTGACTTCTGCCCTTTCTGTTATCCCTGGTTTTAGTTCATTGATGTCTATTTCATTTTTAATTTTTTTCAGCTATATCTGTCCTGTGTGCATATAGCTCTGTATTTAGACCCTCAACTCTGTGGGTTACTACTTGGAATTTTTTTTGCCTCAAAGACAATATCAATTATTTTGATTTTTTCTAGTAAAATCAGAATAAAACACACAGTAATGATAAATAATTTAGAGAGAACATGTAAACTTGTATATGGTATTTTCTCTGAACCAGTATCACTGCGATTAGTTCTTTTCCTTAAGAGGAAAAGCCATGTATTTTCACAGTAAAAAAGGAGAGATATACTTAATAGTATGCTTTGCAGTAGTACCCTTTTGCCACTTATATTAGCCAAGACAGTTCTGTCTTGAGACATACATCCTAATGGATCATTTAAATCCTGTTCAATCTGATCTAGCAATGTGATACAATTATGTAAATCCATGTGCTTATCTTGTTTAACATAATTGAATGAATCAATGTTGCTTTTTAGTCAATTACATATACTAAATTAGGACCCTTTAATGTGGGACAAATATTTCATTGTATTTTTGTTTAAAATCCCATAATAAAGATGGTGAACAATTTGTTTGTGCCCCCCAAAAAATGAGAGCTGTATGATGACGGTAGTAGAATCTCTCACAGCTTCCTCCAAAAGCCAGTGTAGATGATGGGTTATCATTCCATAGTGTTATGATGCACACGAGACCAAGCTGGAAATAGCTGAAGATCAGCATCTGTGTGTACAGGTCACTGAGAATAACCTGAGTGACATCATAATGCATATGACATCTTCGGTGGCCTATTGTGGTTGATATAGAAGATTTTTTTACTTTTGGTTGGGTCTTTGTGTGCTTGTCCATCTTAAACTCACCACTTTGAACCTGTGGTATTTTTGACATGCAGCATGGGGTGGAACAAAGGTAGATGTATCCCTAAATGATCTAACACTGCTTAACATACTGTATCAGGATATAGACTTCTCTTTTCCCATGTTAGAAAACCTCTAACCTTCTCTGAAATTGAATAAATAAAATAAACATTTTTTTTTATGGCCAGATGTTTTCAATTTGATGTGGTAAAGATAATGTGATTGCTCATCACAGTTAAAGTGTAGCAGTTTTTGGGTGAAAGTGGGGCTGGATGTAGGAGGTACTTTCCATTATGCATATCAACTGCTCTTTAGTCTCCAAATGAGAGATTTGAGCAGCATTCTTGGGAAAACTGTATGACAAAAACTTGCACTCTTGAAGACTTGGGAGCTTAACTACTGAAGGTCATGGGCCAAATTGTTGTATATCTAAATGCCATAGCAACTTTAGACAGGCAACTTGGCTTTTATTATAGTTTCTTGTAATGAGCGAGGAGGGAGTTATTTGGATGACAGGCTGATTACCTTAGGAATGGAATAATTTCCTAAATTGTGGGTCAGAACATTGACCTTTCCTTTTCCTCTTATTCAAACAAATGGGATCTCTCTGTTTACTCCCCTTCTACAGATCATGCAAATGAGCTCAAAGTGGCTAATTCTGCTTAATGTATTAATATTAATTCTGAAGCTTATTGTTGCTTTTCTGGGAGCTACTCTGTTGTTAAATACATAGGTGAACAAATGTTTTATTTTAGATAAGTACTTTAAAAAAAATTGGCCCAGGGTATTTTTAATTTTTTTTTATTTTTTTCCATCATATACTCAGCCTTCCAAGATCACAGTGCTTGGAAAGGATAAAGCAATGATCTCATCTGTTTCAGCAGTTCACAGTCATTTCGGTGCTAAGGAACCATAACCCCCTCTCTTAAGGAGTGTGTATTACTTTAACATATTAGTCTAAAGTGGTGGACTTTGTTAAGACACCCTCTCAAAACAGATCCAGATGTATTATTAAATACCAGTGACATAAAAAAATGCAAAAGTGGTTTATAATATGTATGCAGGAAAATACTTGGATATATTCATCAACGTCTTTTCAGTCTTCTCCATCTGTAAGCTGTTGGTTACGAACCACAGCAGTGAAAAGAGCACCTGTACTTGGACCATTGTTGAAAAGTGTGTTTTCACCTGAGGGAGATGGCTTCTGCAGCCCACATAAACAAAAGGCTTTACAGCCAGAGAAGCCCCTGAGCACATGACAGCAGACAACTCTGGCCTGGTCTGGATAGAGAAAGAGAAAAAAAAACCATCCACGGAGAAGTGTATGCTGTGAGGTGATAAGTACTTTGCATTTCTCATTCATAAGATGATATGAGGGTTGAGGAGAGGGAACAAAGTGCTAATGTGATGTGGGACTATTGGTTACTTTAAAGAAGTGTAAATGAACACAAAGTTTGCAGCCTACATAATGGATTCTGATAGAATTCTGGCAGCTCTGAGGATATTCAGAGGAGCTCAATATCTCAGAAACCCACTAATATATTATCAAAATAATCCTGTGAATGTCACTAACTCCAATCCATGCCCGACTATTAATGGCCTGGGACACAGAAGTCTGGTTACCTGTGATAAATACCTTCAGTCTCCTCCACAAGTTGGAGATCTCTATACCATGGAGCACATCATGCTGGCTTTCAGCGATACCCACGGCAGAGAGACTGGTGCCTGACCCCATCCTTTTCTGGCTGTTCCCGTCAGGTGAAAATTATTTCTCTGTAGATCAGCAATGTGACATAGCTGGACTTCTTGCCCAGCTGTGTTTGCCCTGCCAGTAAACAAAATACTTGACTGCCTACGAATGTTCATACAGCACCAGGCAGTTTAACAGACACAAAAAGTGATAGTGCTGGAATGAGATGACACTGTCTATTAAGCAGCGTAACATTGCTGCTCAAGGCCATTTGAATGACATGCTGTTAAGGTTTAATAACTGACTAACTGTCGCAGCATCTCTAAAACCCACTACTGTCAAAGCTCTATGGAAAAGGTTTTTGCATTTGTTTATTTTAAGATAACTTTTTCAGGCTTCATAATTGTTTTTTCTCTTACATGGCTTTTTTATTTTTTGTGTTCCAAAAAACAAGGTACAAGAGAGTTTCAAGGGCAATACTGTACTTCTGATGTTACACAGGAAAAAACAACAGACAAACAAACAAACAAACCATAAACTATGATTAATCCATTTTAATCCTGCCGGTGTTAATTCCAGTCAGAGTTTGCAGAAATGTATATCTGGGCATGTAGAATTGCATGGAATCACAGTATGTCTGCTAATAGTTAAGGCCCTTGCTGTTGCTATGATATTTTTATCCCAGTGCAGGATTCTTGGGGGCTGATTTTTCTGTTTGGCACCAAAGTTGAGTCTCTAGTTTTTGTTTTCTGGGTGATATTGAGTCTGCTGAGATTTATCCTTGCTTGCACCAGTCCTGAGGTTTGGGGGATTTTGATTGTAATTTGTTCTGTATCTTGTATTTTTGCCTAGTCACATCTTAATTAACAGGTCCCCACCTTCAGTAATAAAAACATAGCATTATAGCCCTAAATGTCATGGGAGTGAACAATCCAATTAAAAAAAAAAAAAAAAAAAGAGCATATTAAATCCATTGAAAGCACTACAAGTGCTTTCCAGTCCTGCTTGCAGAAGCAAACCAATGATTAAAAAAACCCCTCAAAGATGTAGAAGGGACAAGAGTTGGTGGTTTATTTTTTTCATCTTAAATTTAAAAAAATCAGTGCTAAAAATGGAAATTGGCAAATTCCACTCAGAAATACACTCTTCTCCAGACATCCTGTATCTATTTGGATGGTGGGAGAAAACTGGCATTGAGAGAGAAACTGAGCAAACTCCACTTTAAACATTTAGGAGTCAAAAAGATTTTATTTTTTTTTTTCTAAAGGTAACATCTAACTGGGTCAAAATAAATATACTAGCTGACTTATTTCAGTAAAGCTTGAAGTATGTGCACAAATTTGTGAAAGGTAAATAACTGCATGATTTTCATAGAGGAAGGTCTCCAGAGGTCCTAATAATGTACTTAGGCATGGCTTGATAGATAAATGCTCAGAAAATTTAGGGACTATGCTTGTTTTCTCTACTGTGTGTTTCTAAGACAGATTTAAAGAAAAAAAAAATCTGTTTATGGTACTTGTTTCTTATAGCTGTATTGAAGTCCTTGACCTATTCAAGGACATAATGAATTCTAAATAATCTAACATTCTTTTAGAAAAACAAAAGCCTGATTTTTATCACTATAACTTCCACTGTAACATATTTTACCTGGAAAAATGAGTAACAGACTATATTCAAAACAAACATTTTAAATTTTATATCAGACAGTAAGTTATGTAGAATTACTCAACACTAATGAGAAAGGAGAGTAGTATATTAAGTCTCTCTGTTATTAATCCATCTCAAGAGTCTCTTTCAGGATATTTTATTCAATATATTAGGCAATATCTAATGGACTATTGCAGTAGACAAAGAATACCTTAGGAGCTAAATTGCTGTTTCTCCTACCCCAATCTCTTGAAGAGAGGAAGCCAAAATTATGCAGGGCAGCCTCTCCACAGGCCCTTTCTCTTCAGTTGTATAGTTAATATCCATTCTGTGTCAAACCTGGGAAGGTTTTAATGAAATACTAGTGATTTCTTGCAAAGATTTAGACTCTGACTTTAAAATCTTATATTTTAAACCTTTCCCCCCCACTAGTTTCAATCTACTAATTTATGTGAAACAGAAAATGAAGATAGAGGATTTTAAAAAGAAATTAAATAATTTTAGTTTGCAAACAAACATATTTATAGCTGACAGGCATGCAGTGCATGTAAATACCCCAGGAAGCATTTCAGGGCTCTTTGAGTGGTTTGTTTCTACCATAGGGAAGATTTTCTTTCTGCTGCTGCCATACACAGAATGGAAATCTTAGTTCCATACCATGCCATTCAGCTTCCTGCATATACACCATAGAAACATATATGAAGGGATGAGATTTTCTTATCATATGGTGTTTGAATTAATACACACACCTGTTGACAATTTTTTAAAGAAATACTGCTATATGTTCCATTCACCATAGAAACAATTTTCAATGACACCTCCCAGAACCACTGAATATCTTTTACCATTCTGAATTTTGATATACACAGTTACTGGATTGTCTGTTATCTGTGCCAAGTACATTTACACATAAAGAAGGCAAGGTCATTTAATCTTATCTTTTTCTAATTAGTGCTGCACCGTACGAACCACAGACTTTTTTGGGGCCTTGTGTCTACCAACTTCCCAGGTGAACTTGAAGCTTCTTGGTTAAACACAGAGCTTAATCTGGAAGAAAGTTAGCACATTTATTTAAATATTAAATAATGGTCTTTTTTAATAACTGGGAAAATATTAAGATATTTGTTTCTTTAGTAATCTCCATATTAAATATTAACTAACATTTAGCACAAAGAAGTTCTGTGGGTTTGAGTAAGATTTCTCCAAGCTTCTGCCTATGGCAATAGGCTGTGAGATAGGTCTGTCACCTCAACTGGTGGATCTGCTGTCATCTGAATTGGTTGGATGTCCCTGAAAACCCAGTGCCCTGGATTGCCCCTGTGATCTCTGCTCTCTAATTCTGTGGCAACTTCAATTTGGGCCAATGCTAGACGATCCAGGCTGTCACACCACAGTGAGCTACCCACCATGGGCAGAAATGCCACTCTGCAGGGAAAGAAACTGTGATCACCCACTGCTTTAGCTAGGAAAGAGAGGAGGGACCTTTATTCCTAAAATATGCTGCCTTTTACTGCTGATGGTCTTCCGTACAACATGAGCCATGGGAGTACATTCTCTGTGAAATGAAAAAAATTTGTTTGCATAAGAAATCTGTAGAAACTTTTAACTTTGCAGCCCTGGTTTTAAATTAATGTTTCTTTAAGAAGAGAACTGTGTAATTTCATTTATCTTAAGGCATAATTTTACGTGCTGAATATTGTTTAACAAAGCAGAATGTAATAACTATCATTGCCACTTAAAGATATTATGGAAGACATGAACATACATTTATTTGTATAATGCAGCCTTGGTTGTTATTGTGGCCTTGACTGCATTCTGATTTAAAAGGTCAGTGCTTGTCATACATCTCATTGCAAACAAGGCCAGAGTTCTTATCAATCTGTACTGTGAAGACCAAGCTGTTGCCAGATTTGTTGGATGATTTCAGGTTGTTAGAATTGTACTTAGCTTTGTGTTGATAGCAGTGTTAAAATTCCTGTTATGTGTAATCATTTTTTTTTTGTTGCTGTTAAAAGATGTGAAAATAGTTCAACTTTTTTTTCTAATTACCTCCATTTTGTGCTGACATGAATGGGGTATGCATGTTTATAGATGTGTATATGTGTTATATAAATATATATATATGTATAAAAGTATATTTTGGGGATTGAGAAAAAAATTGCCAATTAGCTTTTGAAGACAAAGGTTACTTATGATATAAATATTTTTGGTTTAGATGCTTTAATTGAAAGCATATTGAAAAGATAAATCACTGTACGGAGATTTGCATTTTTCTGAACAAGTGAAGGATCCAAAAAGGAATAGGTTAAGTATTTATATCATTATAACCATGTATCAAGGGCATTCACTATGGTATCACTGAGGTTTTTAATGAAAAGATTTAAAAGAAAAGCCTTTTCATTAATGAGATGGTTGAATGTACCTGTCTCTGTGTGTATATGTTATGGAATATGAGATTACATATGGATGGAGTATTTTTGTCTCATTGCCATGGTTTTGGATGCTTGAAATCAGATAGCAAATTCGATTTTATGAATAACTTATTGTAGATATGGACAGCATGCAGACAGGACTCTAAATAAGTATCCCTTTCAGATTAGTTAAGTATTGCAAACCCATTTAATTTAATAGGGCATACAGGTACTCATACCTTCAGAAAATCAGATAATGGATTTTAGATGTTTGCCTTTAGACCCATCAAATTACAAATGTCCATTAGATGAAATTCTTTGTGAACTGCTGAGAATCCAGACCTGACTCCCTAGACTGCATTCTGGGCATGTGCTAAAGCGGGCAGAGAGGCATGATAGCCTCTGCCTCTATTTCACCATTGGTTCTTGTGTGAAAAAAAAAAATAAATAAATCTGAAGCTACATTTTTATCTTAGTCGGTTCATAGTCCATTAGGGTTTTCAGAGCCCCAGTCTCTTTTTAAAGGCTCTTGTGGTAACTTCAGCTCTCTGCATGTTTGTGTGCGTGTACTTGCATTCATGCTTTCTAGATGATGCATTTTAGTGCCTTGCATAAACCTAAATTGAGCAGCCAATCAATTCCAGCTCCACCTGTTTGATAATTTATTCATTCCCTGTGCTGTAAAATCTTAGTTTAAATGTTTTTACTCCTTATGGAGAAGTTGAGATGGGAACCTCTCACTTTCCCCTTGGTTCCCTGTGAGCTGCTTATAACCACACTGGAGAGCATTCACAAATAAATCTTCTCATTTTCAGGTAATCACTCACTTCCATAAGCTGAGCCCTTCAATAAAATACCAAATGTCAGAAGACTCTCAATAAAGTCAAGAAAGTTAGAAATGTTGACATATGCAATAACTGAAAGTCTCCTCTGTATGTGTTGCCCTTATTTAATATAGTAGGAAATCTCTATGGGGGGGTTGTTGATTTGGACATACATAATGTACAGCTTATTCATCTCTCAGAAAATTTCCCACAAGGCTGGCACACGATTCTGTTTTCTCAACTTGTTGCTTCATCATACCATTCCTAAAGCATTTTTCACTAGAAATGCTGTTTTACTGAGGTTTTTATCAAGTAAATCTATTCTGAAATAGGTATCCATGTTGCATTAAGACTCCTCTTAAACAAATTCTCCATTACTCATAGTCTATGCTTTCACATTCTGATTCTTTTGCACAATAATCTTGTAACAGGAAAAGCCATTATTCACCAAATTGTTATTGAAAATTGAGTTTCTAAAAGTTATACACTGTTCCAAATTTGTTGTGTTTCTGGCTACCTGCAGGTACTTGACTACACAGTAAGACAAAGGAGAAGTTTATGTCACAAATTACAACTTTCTAGTTTCTAAAACTTATCTTCAATGTATGAAGCTTCTGAAAAGCCTTTTATCTTACAGATATTTGTCAGCCATTATGATATCTTTCTACTGCCGAAATTATAATGGCAAAAAACAAAAGAGATGTTCACTTTGAGGGAAGGCACAGATAAAAAGTCAAAAAGTATTTTAAGAAAAGCAAGTCTGAGACAAGCTGTTTCAGTCCCAGGCTTAGAGAAGCAGTTATGCTCCCTAACCTCCCAGTGATTAGACTTATGTGTTTTGAATAGAACTGCTAATTTTAAGGAGATAATGTTCTATTTCTTTGTTAGGCAAAACCTTATTAAAACAACAAGAAAAGCCCATAACATTATTTGACTTTTGTGGCACCCTGTTTTGCAACTTGAATTCACTAAATCTGAAGAAAGTAGTAATGTAAAATAAAAAATGATATCTGTACAACAGTAAACTTTTTCATAATCAAAAGATCTTGACCAGTAATGTTCTGTATTCCCAGAAAAGCGATCCATTTTCACCTGCTCTTAGTATTAGCCTCAAAGTTTCACACTGTCACCTCATTAAGATGTTATCTAAAATCCTTCTCAGATATACAGGATTCCCCATTGTCCACAAGAGACTTGCTCAATTTATCTAGTTGATCATATTGAACCAGCAAATGTTTCCGTGTCTGTCAGAAAAGCAAGTGGTACATATCTGGACCAACAGCAGAATAGGAAGGCTCCGCTGAGGGAGAGCATTGCTTGAGCATACTGGGGAGGTTCCAAAGAGCTGCTTTGCTCCCTCCTCCCTCAGATCCTCCATGGGGTGTAAAACTTCACATTACCATGGTTAGGCTAACGTAAAGTGTCTGAAGATCAGTTCCACTGATTTAATTAAAATGTCATTGTTACTCTAAAAGCATAGCCCATTCTGGACCAATATTTTCCCGATACATCTCAGAAATGGTAGGTCAGAAACAGAATCTGTAGCACAGACTACTGTTATGAGTCAATATTTAAGGTATCATTATGAAAGGGCTACCTGAACCACATATTAAACAAATACAACTGTATGCATAGAATAGCAATTTAAATGATAGCTCTTTGGTCTGCTTTGTTTAAGACATTTTCATTTTCATTTTGTAGCCAAGCACCAAGACGTACTCACAGAGTGGCAGACACTCAGTATCAGTAGAGGTTCAAATGCAGCGGCAGCGGCAAGAAGAAAGAGAGAGTTTCCAGCAAGCTCAGCGGCAGTACAGCTCATTACCCAGGTATGGTAACTGTCTGGAGCTATTTGGTGTACGTGAGCCTGGAGCTAATTTCGTTTGTGGAAGGAAAATGTTGTACTTAGTGCAGACGCTTTTGTTTAGCATTGATATAAGGTGGAATGTATTCAGTGTGGAAGAGGCATAAAATTTCTTAAGTGAGAGCATGTGGAAGCTGTTTATTTTAGGAGAATTACTTCAGAGCTGATTTCAGTGGGATTTGATGACACTCAGCACCCAACAGAATTGAGACATTAAAACAAAGCTATTCTTTGTGGGACACCATCCAGTTTAATTTTCTGCAATTACAAAAGACACCTGAGCATGGCATGGATTGTCCCCTTTTGACATATCAGATGGGTTTTTTTTTCTGTTGCCTAATTCCTTAGTGGGAAGAAATTTTATCTTTGTGCTGCTAATACAGAGAAAAAATTAAAAGGAAAAAAAAATCTCAAGATCTCATGCAACAGAATATGGAACTGAGAAACTCTATCCAAAAAATCAGGGGCCTTCAAGTTTCCAAGATATACATTTCTTCTAAGTTACTGGGTCTTTAGCAATGGAATACTGAAAATTAATACACTTTCTGTCTAAAAAGAAAAATCTGTATTTTTAAAAAATCTTAGATGAATCTTAGATTTTTTTAAAATGATATGTTTGATAAAATGTCTTTTACTTGATATTTAGCTTTAAGAATTAATAAAAGTTTGCCCAACTTGTATTGAAAATTAACACTCATAGTTAAGCGTTATGCAACTAGTCTGCATTTTCAAATATCGGTGTCAGTGGCTGAATGAAGAATCTTTTACACCTGAGGTTGGTGTCAAATTCCCTTCCAACAAGGTTATATTGTTTTCTGTGCCGTGTATGGAAATGATGTGGGGAAAAAAAAATTGTGACAGCATGTGTTTTACCAAGTGTTTCTTAACTCTTTTTTTGGAAACAAATTCAAGCTTCATAATCAAAATTATCTAATCATGAACTCTTATCCTACCAACATCTTTGAAAATAAAACAGATCTTTCAGATTTTCACATGCTATAACATATTTCAGTGTAGGTTCTATTAAATTTGCAAAGAGGGAATTGAAAATGTAAAGTTGCTGTGTTTTCTTAGATTGTTAGTTTGTCATTTTGAAAATCTTTATATTCCTTTTGCTTCTATGTCTACCTTCCTTCTGAAGTGACCACACCTATTAATGCCATATTGTTTTTACTGAGAATTTATCTTTCAGTTTTGCTTGCCTCAGCAATGCAGAGATTCAGTGGAAAAGCACAGATGGTAGTGTTGCTTTTAAATTGTGGGGGGGTTATTTTTAGTTGTAAAACTATGATTCTTAAAACTCACTTACCCTGTTCTGCTCAATCGCTGGTATCAGTTAAAACTTGGAAGTCAGTTGTAATGCAGTTCCAGTGGCAGAAATTAACAACGCTAAGGAGAAAATTAATCTACAATAAATTTGGAAAATAATACTCCAGATTATAGAAATGCTTGTTTTGAAAAGAGCGGCTGAGAACTTCACTTAGTGCAGTTTTCAACATGAGAAATGACTAGCAAGCTAGCAATGCATGTTACTGTGTAAATAATGGTAATTTCATGACTTTGAGCACTCTGGGTATTTAAGCTGTGCTGAGAGCAGACAGAATTTCAGGACCTTGGGCTAAAGTTGAGTGCTGTAAATACCAGGAAACTCCTATAACAAGCTGGGAAGTCCAGTTCTCTGGCATTATAAACTGTTTGTAACTCTGTGACTGATCTTTAAAGAAACCTTACTTGCTCTGAAACTTGGGCCCCAAGCTTAATGTTGCAACTGTGGATTTGTAATGATTAAAGTTTGTGCACTGGCTTCATTCTTGAGCTTTGTTGCTTTTCATCTTGTATAGTCTCTAGGACCCTCCTTTTTTTCCCTTTGTACATTCAAATCATTAGTACTGAAGGCAAATAAACTCTTGAGTCAATTTTAAAGGATCTTCCCAGAAAGACAAGGAAAGTGGGCCAACTAATTTTGAACAAGTACCAGAAAACAGTAAATTAAATCAGTTCAACTAGTCATCCTCTTGTCCCACATGAAACTGTAAAAGCAATGTTTAACTCCAAGTTAATTTTCTAGTACTTAAAATTTATCTTGCTCTAGATCAGCAATCTGAGTTTCGTATCCTAAAGAGGTTAGTTCAATTTGCTCTTGTTCCAGGGAGTGATAGAACATGGCTCAGAAACATTGGGTTTTTGGCAAAGTTGGATATGCAAATACCAAGAACAGCTATAAAAATTTGCATAAGAATTTACATTATGTTGTAATTTATGCTGTAATAATCTACATTCCTCCTGAATAACAATTTTCATCCAGAGATCTCAAAATCTATTATGAAATAAGGTGAATATGGTCATTTTCAAATTATATGTGTAGAAGGATGATTGCAAAAACATTAGGTGACTCGTTACCTTTACTAATGGTAGAAAAATTCTCTGTCTCCTGTCTCTCCACTGCATATTAATCGGATGAGGCCACATTGAGTCACATGTGTTGATGTGAAAAACCAAGCCATATATGATTTTCTAAATGATTTTCTTATTGATTAAAGTCGCAATATATTTTGTTTTAGTGCTTGAGTCTCGTACACTAATTTTAATCTCAAAGTGGGTATCTCTTTTGCTGAAGCACAAAATTGTTTTACTTCATCATCACCAATCTTATTTTCAATTCATAAAAGCATCTAGCATCTTGATAGCAAATTAAAGCCATTTCAAATCCATAATCTGTCTTCAAAATAATGTGATGATTTATTGTGAAAGGAGATAAGAATTTGTAATTCCTATATGTATTTGTTTTATTTATCTTCCTCATGGAGTCAAAAAAAAAAAAAAAAAAAAAAAAAGAGCAATAAAGGTTATCTCTGCCTTTTCTTTTATGAAAGCTATAGCAAACTGGGAAACAGTCCTGATATCACCAAATTCCTTAGTTCTGGAAATGGGAGGAAGAAGCTCTCATCTGTGTAACTACCTCTCAATAATGAGCTTTATCTTCTGATTTTTTGCAGTGTTGGAGCAAGTGTTTTAAAGATCTGCCTGTTGCATTTTTAATCAAGTGTGAGACTAGGTTCAAATCTTTCATGAGTGGCTTTACAAGTGCTGGCTGATATCTGGTTTCTTAGGAAGCAGAGCATTGCGTATGGTCTTTCCTAGTCTGCAACTGAATTGTGGCACTTTTTTTTTGAGAACATGATGATTGTTGTAGCACTGGATGGATTTTCCTCCTGGAGAGGCCTAGAAATATAGTTCAACTCTATAGGAAATGCTCTTCCAGCAAAAGAGGCAGGATGCCTCTTTGGGACAGAAGAGAACATGACTTCTGGAGAATGCTATAGCTGGAGGAAACCTGATGGTATTGCAGAAGCAGTTTTCTTTTCAGGGATTGTTGTCAATAGCAGGAGAAGGAGAAACAGAACATTCATCTTAAAAGCCTCTTCCATTTTTCTTTCCAGGCAAAGCAGAAAAAATGCCAGTTCTGTATCTCAAGACTCCTGGGAGCAGAGCTATTCCCCTGGTGAAGGTTTCCAGACTGCAAAGGAAAATCCCAGATATTCCAGCTACCAGGGATCGAGGAACGGCTATATGGGGGGACATGGCTTCAATGCCAGGGTAATGCTAGAAACACAAGAACTGCTCCGTCAAGAGCAGAGACGGAAAGAACAACAACTGAAAAAAAAAACTTCTTCTGAGGGGCCTAGCAACTATGACTCATATAAAAAAATTCAAGACCCTAATTATACCCCTCCTAAAGGTCCTTTCAGGCAAGATGTACCACCTTCACCATCTCAGGTAGCCAGGCTGAACAGATTACAAACACCAGAAAAGGGAAGACCATTTTATTCTTGAGGTGAAGAAATTGAAGATCAACTTACCATGCAATAAGGAACATTTTCATATAAAGACTTATATTTTGAAAACTTTTTAACTGATGGTACAAAGGAATATATCTGTTGTCTGTTTCAGTGCCTTTAAAAATATGGGTAAAGCATTGGTGGGCCTTATGTCTTTGCCGTTCTGTCTCAAGTGTTGAATTCATGGAAGGATGTTCCACCATTTGACAATCATAGCAGAAGTGAGCAATGCTGCTCCTGCATACCGAGTGCCGTAGCCCAGTCCAGTAGTTGTCAATGGCTTATTACTAGGATTTGTTGTAATGTGTTTTATTTTGCAGTGACTTATTGCACCAACATGCAGCTTTTTGGCATAAAATTAATGAATTTGAGATTGAAGGAAGCATTGACATGTCCTTTTTTATTTCTCTCTGGTCAGGAGGAGGGTTTACATATCACTCTTGAGTGAGTAAGGCTTAGCCCTACTCTGGATCACAGTCTCAGTTCTAAGATATTTTATGGTAGAGTCATTACCAGTCTTCGTTGATCAGTATTTAAATGACTATATGCTGAAAATCTATCCTTCTCCTACTATGCACATATGCACTCTTTTTTTCTCTCTCTCCCCACTCTGAGCTTATTAAAAAAGCCTTTATCCTGACTCATGAGGAAAACCATATTAAGCTTTCAGTTATCCTGAGAATCCTGTTACAACTGCCTTATAATCTTAGTACACAGTCCGTTACAAATGAAATAAATGGAGAGAGGCTATTTATAAATAGTCTCTGTATACAGTCACAGCCAAGCCCTTGACAAGTATATTTTACTATTTTATTAAAGATAGGAAATTATGAACAAACATACGACTGAGTTCTGCTTCGCTTTATTTCTAAATTAATTTGGTCATATGAAAAGTTGTGTCTAGGAAGAGAACTAGGGAGGGTATTATCCCATTTTGGAGACAGCTTAAAGCAAGAGCAGAAGAAATCAAAGGTTTTCTTTGGATCAAAAAAAAAAATGAAAAGAAAACAATTTCTTCTTTTTACAGTTTTTGAAGCTTTGTGGACAATTGCCTTGTGCTTCCATATACTGCATTGTTGCATCGTGATGCTACATTAAAAATAAAACTTCAAGTATATGAATGAGAGAGAAGTGGAGACAAACTGTTACACATCGTACTGAAAACATGTCAGTATCCAAAAATAAGTAAAGCAAAAAAGATTGCTCTAGCAGTGAGTAATATTTGAATGTGCATATAGGATATGAGAATTTATTTTGCAGCCGCTGTTTTTATGTTTGTTGGTCTGAACTTCATGTATTGTAAAAAATATGCCTGGGTTGCTGAAGTGCCTGCAAATCCCGATGTGAAAAGACTTGAGAATGGATCTCAGCATATCGTGTACAAAAAGGAAAGAGAGAAAGCAAGAAAGAAAATCATGTATTGCGTGATTTAAAAAAATGCCTATTTTTTTTTACTGGCACATTTTATTTTTGCGTCAACTTGTTTTGAGAATATATGTGAAATATCAGCACACATATCTGTGTCTTTTATGCCTGTTTGTTAATGGTTTTTGTTGTTAATAATGTACTCCATGTTTGAAAGTTGTTACTAGTGTAAGCACAGTGACATTGGATGACAATAGCTCTTTTACACAGAATTTACAAAACTGTGTAAAACAGCTTTCCGTGTACATATGAAATTTAGAATAAAAGCCTATTTCCATCCTTGTCTTGGTATTGCCTGTAGACCCTTATGAGAACTGCTGCAGACATTGAGTTTAAAAAATATTTAACAGATGTTATTTTATCCTATTCCTAATGGTTTGCGTATGTCTTTCTGTGAGCGTTTACAAACATCGAAAAAAAAAGAAAAAGAAAAAAAAGAAAATATTTATAGCCCAGCTGAACACCTGAAGATGATCCTCAGAGGGAAAAACCACTCAATCTAATGCCTTATGTTATTTTAGGCCATACCTGTGACATTTAAAAGACACATTCTTTAGTCTAACCTCTGTGGCAAAAATCTTTTGGGCTGTAGTGTAGAGTCCTCTCCCCAAGGAGAGTGCTGGCAGAAGAAGGGCACCCGCTGTGCTCTGGCCAAATCCAGGCACGTGTGAGGAAGTCCCCTCTGCTCTGAGTGTGTGTTTTAGGCTCAGATGGGAGCCCTTCACAGGAATGTTGATGTAGTAAAAGTGGGAGAAAGCAGATTTATTAATAAAGCAATATTTACAGTGCCAGTGACACTGTTTCCCCCATTAGTATTGGAGCTGTGTCTGGTTTTATCCCTCTTTCTTTTGTTGGATACTACTGGAATGTCAATCATAATTCTGTATATGCATGACATCAGGCTGTTGCCATGGCAATAATAGTGTCAAATTATTCACTGTGACTTTAGTATGGGATCTCAAGGGGAAGAGTAGCAAGAGCTGCGAGGTGGACGCGCAGCTTTTGGTGCCGGAATAAACTAAAGGTATGATTTTGCAAAAGGCCTAAATTGTAGTGGCTTCCAGTTGCAAATGGAGAAATAATTGCATTTGCAGCTTTGCAGGCCTTGCTGCCTCATCTCCTGACTGCACTCCCAGATTACATAGTTTAATGTTTCTATGGAATTGTTTGGACAGGCAAATAATTGCAAGCACTAAAAAATGCATCCGCAGGAATGGAAAACAGGTTGAAGTCCTTTTCAAAAGAAGGTCTTTGATAAACTGCTGTAGGAAAAAGGGCATATGTTTGGAAAAGTATGAGGTACGGGATGTTTTACATGTGAAGATGGCATATGTTACAGTTTACCCTTCTATGAAACTCCTCTTCAAGGTGTTAACAATTTGCCATAATTAGATGTGTTCATGAAAGAAGGCAGATGTTCTCTTTGGGGCCATGTCTGTGTTATGTTAACAAAGAATAAGGTCTTTTTCTGGCTTCGTCATCCTGTCTTCTTCCTGACCCAGTGTAGACAGGATTTCTAATATTAACTCCCATAAGTTGCAAAGGGCGATAAGGAAGTGGGAGGGAGATGTTTTAATAGAAAATGACCTTTAGTTCTGCATAGTGAATAGATTCAAAAGTTAATTGAGCTAACTACATTACTGCAGTAATTTGTTTGTGGACGTATTACCATTATGATATTAACTCTGTAACATTAGTGTATTTAAGAATGGTCACAGGACAGACTGTAAGGGAGCTTACAACATAGAGGAGTGGGCGTAAAGCTTGCACATTTTTCTCTGTTGAAACCCTAAAAAAAAACGTCTGCAAAGCCTGATGGTATTTTATCAAAATAGTTTGTTAATGCTATTGAAATTCCATGAGAAAGTTTACTATTCCTAATGCAGAAGACTGCTGCCTTTCTAAAAAAGCCTACTTCCCCTCTTCTTATAGGGCCTCCTTGAAAACAAGAGTGCAGCCCTGGTGAATTATTGCATGGGCCAGATAGTTTAATATATGTCTTTGAGAACTCTGCCATCTAAAACAGCAAAAAATGGCGTAGAGCCCAGCTGAACGTGGTCGGAAAGTACAATTGCCATTTATTGCTGGCAAACAGCAGGAAGAGCAACAAAACAAAAATTAAATCCACCATGACTGTAGATATATGGCCTGCCTTTCAAAGCTGTGCTGATGTTTCACTCACGTTCACTCTCTTTGTGAGTGTCTGTAACGTTGTATTTATCTGTGCTCCGAACGTTGAGAAGGGAAGGGAAGAAACCTTGGCCAGACAAGGAAGAGATACGCCAGATTAGCAGTGTTGGCTAAACACGGGATATTCTTGAGTAATTCAAACCTTTGAACTTGCGTTGTTGAGACTTAAAGTGAATTTGGCTATTGCATGTCCTGGCTTGTAAGTCTATTTCCAAAATATTTCCTAATTCTATTTGCTGTGCCTGACTGTTTCTACATCTTTCTCTCCTGAGTCCTCAGTCTAGTTTATAGGAATTGTGAGGAATCGGTCAGGAATGCAAACGCAGAAAAAAAACCTCATCTATATTTTATGCTGTTGTTGTGCCACCACACCCTGGCCTTCTAGACTCAGTTTAAAGTTCAGCCCTAACTTGGCAGAGGAAGTGCAAGGATGGGGGACTGACTTCATGAAAGGGGGGTTTGTGTGTGTGCAGGGGCGGGGGGGGACACATATTGGATTCATTTGCCTTTAATTCATGTCCAGCTTGAAACCCTCTTTAAAAAATCTTGTCGCTTTTCTTCAGAGTTTTTCCCATCTGTGCAGAAACCAGCTGATGATTTGATGCACATGATTATTGTTTCATGCCCTCTTGTATATCTCTTCTATTTTGTATCAGCATCACACTTTCTCTTTTACATCTGCTGATTAATTCTGTTGCATTTATTTGTTTCTCTAAATGACATGCAATTCATTCGTATCCTAGGCTGCTTCTTGCCAGTGATTGATATTTCTCACTTAGCTTTGCAAACTTATTTTAATATTTTTCTGTCCTTGGGAATAGTGTTATCTTTTGTAATTTACACTTTAATCACATTTTTAAAATTGAGACTGGAAGCTTGTGTTAGGATTACACAAAAGCAGACTAAAGAATATGGCTTTGATTTCTATTCTGTGTGCAACGCACACTTCCCAGGCAGTTGCAGGGACTGTGCAGAGTACTGTCTGAATGAGGTGAAGAAAAACATCAAGCCCAGGAGCTTTGGAGAAAAAAAAAAAGTTAAGGAAAGTTTTGACAATATTTATACCCACTGCATGCTATCTACTGTGAAAAAAAAAAAAAAAAAAGAAAAAAAGATACTAATTCCTTAGAAGTATTACTCTCTGTCTGAATGGCTGATGGTTTCAGAGCTCAGACAGACGTGACTGTGGTTTAAAGACAGACGGATGGAAGAGGAAGCTGCTTGCGCCCTTCCAAAGGATGCAGGACCCTCTTCCCTTGCAAAACAGCTCTCAAAATACTGTTTTCAGCTGCGCATCCTACAGCAACCAAGGTCTGAGACGGGCTTACATTCATACATTGAGCTGAAAACTGCAGTGACATCTGTCAGAGAGGCAGGGATGACAGCAGTGGGTGATACTAGCTGCAGTTATCCAGTTTTAATCCGCTTGCTTGTTGGAGTAATCTTTGTCTTGGGAAAATATGGAAAGAAATTAAGAATGAGGAAAAGGAGTAAAAAGTGAGCAGAAAGGTTCTCCGCTTGCCTTCCACTACTGTCACCATTACAGCCACTGGTGTATGGTATGCCTTGAAGGCAAAAAAAAAGGATAAACTAGCTGGCAGTAACCTCAGTGCAAAACTCCAAGAGATTATCCTCCTAGAGATTCAGTCTACTGTGTAGCCTGTAAGACATGAATTAACAAACAAAGCAATAAGTAAAACAACTTTATTATCCCTCTGTTATTTCCTCTGTGTGTTTCCCTGGGCTGTGTTTAGATTGTCAGTCCTTGGGACTGTGTTTAGTTTTTATTCTATATAGAACAGAATACTATCATTATCAGTAAGAGCTAGTAAATATTTGGGGTTTTTTTTCAGCGTGAAAATAACTTTTTTAAAGTTGGTTTATATAGATTTTTGCAACAGGTGCATGACTGTCGCATTTTAGTTGAATTCCATTCGCACTTGTAAGTACAGAGCATGTTGCTGGAACCAGTAATAGCTGGGAACTTGCTACCTTTGGCAGTTAAAATGATCTCTTCATTTAACTAAGGGGCTAATTATTTAAAGCTTTTGTAGAGGGAGAGAG